AATATTCAGAATCGATCATTTTGTGAATAATTGGTTCAAGACGTGTACGTAAATCTTCATATGTAAATTGTACAGGATGTTTAAGTAATTGCTTATTTGATGCATCGATTTGTTCCATTATTGGTTTCATAATATTGCTAGTTGATAATTGTGAATCAGATTCAATCATTATTATAGTTGATGTTGAATTTGTTAGAAAATAAGAAGAATTATCTTGTAGTGTTCTGTTTTTGATTATTGAAAATCTAAAAGTTTAAATTAAAAGGCATACATAGTACATTATTAGAATTTAATTGTATAACGATGATATTACAGACGAAATGTGGATCAATATAAGATTCATACTTCCTTCGAGTTGATTCGTCTACAATGGCATTTTAACTACAGTTTGATAAGCTCTGTGCAATGATGAAAAGCTCAAGATACTCTAAAAAGTCAAGACATTTGAGTCAGTTTCTGGATGGGTACTATACATTTAGAGATTTCAAGTGTTCAATTGATAACTGATTTTAAACACTAATGGATATGTCTAAAAGTCTATCTCATTCTCAATACTATGTTGGGTTTAATCTCTTTTTTTTAAAGCCTAACTTAAATTTCATTTATATACTTATAAAATCATTTCACACATCGTACAATAAGAGAAAAAAAAACGTAGTATGAATCAGAGTTACACACACAATTCTATGGTTTAATTTTTACTTTTTACAATGTTCAGCTCGTATATTTTCGACTAAACCAGTTGTGTGACGCGCTCAGAAAATGTCCTTATATAGCAGAGACTAATTATGCATTAGTCAACAAAAACAAAGAAGCAATCGTCCGCAGTAGAACAACAAACAAAAGGTCACACGGTCAATTCGCGAACACACTAATACAGCGAAGAGGATAGTGTTTATAAAATGGGCATTGTAATGGTAACAAAAATTCATGTATACGATAACAAGAACTGCCAATATCTTATTTGTCAAAAGTCAATAGCTGGGCTATAAGATGACTTTCTAGATTCCAGAGAGAAAAAGGATAACCTTCAAATGACTATTCGTGCAGTAAAAAGCATTTCAAAATATATCTTCAAAATGTATAGCGGACTTTCACCCTATTGGTCCATTACTGACCAATGAAATTTTTCCATAGATTTACGTACTTCGGTGTTCGCTTCTTAATGGTGAAAATCGCAGCTCCATAGTTGCTTCCGTTCTTGAGTTATTCGACTCGCCTTCTATTTTGAAACGGATAGGAGATATAATGAAACATATGTTGGATAAATAGTATTGATTTGTTATTGTAAAAATTTATTAGTATAATTGAAATAAATTTCGATAAAATAATCTGTTAATTAAAATAAAAAACATTTAAATGTTTTTTTTTGAGATATGTTCGATTAAATATTGAAAAATTGAAATAAAATTGTTTTAGTGTGAAAATGATGAAGATATAAATGAACGTGGAAAAATTTTAATAAGTCTTATGTATTCAAATAAAACATCAAATTTTTATGTTAAAATAAAACGTGCTTGTTATTTATTATCAATTGATATTGATCGTAAATCAAATCCTTATTGTCAATTATGTTTATTTTCATCTGATCATTTATCGAACAAATTAAATTTTAAAACAGATATTAAAAAAGAAACTTTGAATCCACAATTTAATCAAGAATTTATTTATAAAAATATTCAATTAAAAAAATTCATTAAAAAAACATTACAAATAACTGTTTATGATAAAGATTTTGGAAAAAAAGAGAATTTTATTGGTAACTAGATTTTATCTATTTATTAATAATTATCTCGACTTCTTTGTTTTTTTTTCTTCAATACAGAAACAAATTAGATCTCATATATGAGAATTCGAACTCTAATATTGAAGTTTATTTATTAGAAATAAATCATTTTTACTAGAGTAAATAATTGATTATTAAATGTCTTATTTTATTAAATTTGATTAGTCATAGTTTAATTTAACAATTAAATAATACTTTTGTTTTTTGAAAAGTTAAGAGATAAGAATTGAATGTTATTTTATTTATTTATTTATTTTAAAATAAATAACTAAATAAGATTTCTCTAATACTAGGTGGATTTCGAATAGGTCAATCAGAAAGTGAAGATTATTTGAAACATTGGTTCTTAATGATAAAATGGCCAAATCGATCAATTGATATGTGGCATAAATTAAAAAATGAACATTTTTATTGATTATTAACTAAAGAACATTTTTCAAAACATATTTATATGATCAATTATTTAATTATCAAATTTTCAATGGAATTCAACAAAAAACAAATTGTTGTTTCGAATAAGAATTTATCTTCATTGAACAATAATCCGTCTTAACAATAATATATTCCAATAAATATTCAATATTATCTTTCTTTTCTCTTTTTTACATTTGTTTTTTATTTTTAAATATTTATTATATTATTCACTAAAAACAATTTTCTTTATTCTCCTTTAACATATATATCTTTTCCTTCGTTGTTATTTTATTCGATATATTATATCCTAACGTTTATTTATCAAATTAGGAGACTTATTGAAAAATCTTCAACAATGAAACCTTTTCTATAGGAAATTTACTTGAGTTCGCTTAGAAATTATTCAAAGAGTTTTATCATATCGATTTTGTGAATTAATAGTGCATTCATTTAAGCTCATTTTTTTCTTAATACTATAGAATAGTATCCTGCGAAAAAATTTCAATATCTCAAGAACGGAAGAACAATTTTTTTTTCAAACGGTTTGCATCAAAATTCTTGAAACTCTCATTCATACAATACATATTAAATTGAGCAAAATCGAATGGCCTCGATCGAGCAAATTAGGTAGTACCTTATATAGACTGGCTCATATAGAAAAATAGAACAAATTCCATCAAATAAAAAAGCCCATGATCTATTAACAGGTTTGTTTGGCTATTTTCTTTATCTTTTACAATTGAATTGAAATAAAATAGACGAATGCTCATCAACAATGATTACAATGGTTGGCGAGGGTGTGGGTGTGGGTGTGGGTGTGGGTGTGGGTGTGGGTGTGTGGGGTGGGTGTGGGTGTGGGGTGTGGGTGTGGATGGGTGTGGGTGTGGGTGTGGGTGGGTGTGGGTGTGGGTGGGTGTGGGTGTGGGGTGTGGGGTGTGGGTGTGGGGGTGGGTGGGTGTGGGTGTGGGTAAAAACGAAATTGACACTCACACCCACACCCACCCACAAGGGTTTTTTAAGGTAATGAAACGAGTATGTGTAAGAATTTCGTCCAATACAGAGAGCATACACAAAAACAACAAAAAAAGTGTTCCGAAGTGAAAGAGCGGGCTGATAATGCCTTTCGTAACTCACTTACTCTGGTGGATCGAGAAAGACAACAAATTTTGAAGTGTTTCATTCCTTTCCTTCAAGTCTTTTTGCAGCTTCTTTCTCTCTTCGTTACATTCTGTGTATTTTGTTTACAATGTAACATAGGCAATTAAATGAGCTGCGTCGTCTACACTGTTGCTTCTTGCAACTACAAATCAGCCGAATTCAGTCTCGTCATCAACTGACTCTCTTCTCGGAAGTTCGTATTTACACAACTTTTCATTGATGAAAACGAATTGAGAATGAAGTATTTGTACAGAAAATTCCAAAAAAAGGCAGAGACAGTATAGTATGGACAGATGGTGTTTCCAACCATTAGACAAATTGCTAAACGTCTTACTTTTATATTGATAATTCGGAGTGTGGGTGTGGCTGTGGGTGTGGATTTGGGTGTGGGAGTGGGCGTGGGTGTGGGTGTGGGTGTGGGTTACATTTATGATATATTCCACACCCCCTCCCCCACCCACACCCCACACCCACACCCACACCCACACCCACACCCACACCCGCACCCCACACCCAAACCTGACACCCACACCCACACCCACATTCACACCCACACCACACTCCCACCCACAACCACTCGCTTGATAAAAATGTTGATTTCATTTAAAGAAACAAAAGGGAAGTGAGAAAAAATATGAAAATAGATAATTTTATTCTTGTTCAGTAGCTGATCGTTGAAAGATAAAATTCAATCGTTCACCCTTAGAGTGAATCATCGTCGGATCAGTTTCGTGGCAGGGCATGCTTCTTGACCATGATCATTGCCTTGCAATTGAATTCGGTTCTGTTCGTGTCGTACTCCCTCAGCATTTCTATAGAGAAGAGCAATTGTAGAAGCAGCAGGGTAAATCAGAAAAGTTACCTGAGTTTGTGCAGTGATCGCGTTTTGGATAATCGATAATCTGGGTTGTAAGTTTTACAGTGTCGACTAGTGTAGTCGTGGGTCGGTACCCGTCGGAGCTTACTCCAAATATGCAGTCACAGCAACAAAATCGGCCTACAAGTAACTTGGCATGAACGAGTCGATATCTGGTGTTAAAGCATTTTGACACTAATTCGGACAATTCTCTTTATTAACCGAGCTTTACAGCATTTTCTCAACAAGAGGCAGGCAAGAGCACGAGAATCAGCTTCTAAATAGTCTCTTCTCTCGGCAATGATTAAGAAAAAAATATATCGCTTATATTTTGCGCTGCAAATGACCGTGGTGCTCTTGTTTTCATGTGCTCTTCTGTGTATGGATCTGCATCTCCATGGAAACTGTTCCCGGTGGCGCCGCAATCTGTGCTTCCTTCAGTAGCCAGTGGCGGTATCGAGAACAGTTTCCATTGAGATCCAGACACCTACTTCTGTAGCAGGATCCAAACATTTTCAAGCAGTGTGTTATTCGCGTTGTAATTTTCGTTTGTGTTTAAATTACATTGAAAAACTGCTCATCACTAGCTTCAAAACCAGAGAAATATCTTTAGGCGAACTTTTTTCCATGAATAAGAGCTGGGTGATCATCTTGAGCAGAAAGTTCATGAGATCAGTAAATATCTTCACGTAAACCATAAGGCAGCCTGGCGGTCTTAAGCACATTAGTCGCCTGACTCAAGGAAATGATTGATGCCATCGATTAAGTACTTACCAATGATCAAGAAAGTCGAAATGTAGAACATGGTTTAAATTATGCGTATGCGAAGCGTATGAGAGAAATCTCACATAGAACTAACTCTCCTCTGGTCTCTACTCTATTCTGTTTAGTCACCAACATTGTTTGTCTGCTAATCTTACCATCTTCTTGGACATTCAGATGATAGATAGGCGTAATAATGCGCACATTAGGCGGTTGGAATGGAAATGTGGCTGGCAATTTGATCTCGATCTGATAGGCACCTTGTTTGTAGATATCCGACATAGGAAATATACGCCCAATGATAGTGAACGGTTTGACTTGCTTGGAATCTTGCGGCACATCTAACGACGTTTGATCAACTATGAACTTCACTGGTACACCACTTTGCTGTAACAATCTGAGCTTGTTCATCTCTGATAGTACACGCTTGGTGACTGAGCTTGAGAATGCCATTTTCTGTTCTTTAAATTTGACAAATTAACATTTATATTTTACAAAAATCTATTTCTTTTTTTTTGTTGTTTTCATTTCTTTTTGGTTTAATATATATATATATATATATATTGTTTGAGTTTAAAGAGATATGGAATTTTTAAGGATGTGGGTGTGCATGTGCGTCTGGGTGGGTTATGCGTGTGAGTGCGGGGTGTGGGTATACAGGTGCGGATGGTTGTGCATTCGCACGGAATCAATACTGACACCCACACCCGACACCCTTTCACAATTGTAGAAACTGCGTCCAGAAAATGTTCCAGGATTAAACAAGTAGTTGATGGATTCTTCTAAATTTAGAGTCGCAATGAAAGGAAAGACTAAATAACTGATCATCTAAATAAAAACTACCTGGCAAACAGAAGACACTATGTATTAAGAAGAAAAGCTGCCAAAATTGGATCCAGCGACTGCGCAAGTAGCGTAAGTTGTTTGCAGTCGCGAGATGTATGGTGTAGGTGTGTGTGAATGGGTGTTGGTGTGGGGTGTGGGTATGAGTGCAGGTAAGATGAATTAATACACCCACATTCGGATTCTACACGCGCACACACATGCACACACACACACACTCACACCCACCCCACACCCACACTCACATATCCACATGCTACCACGCCCACAGCCATACCCACATCCACACGCACACTCACGCCCACACTTACACGCACACTCACACACACATCCACATCTACATCCCTTCCTGCAATGAACTTACCAATGTAATTCCTAGGTTGATCAATACGGACTGAATCAATTGATTCATCTGGGTTCTTAAGTGCAAGTGATTTTTGATGCCATTTGACACTCTTATTGTAGTCACCGGTCTGTGATGCCAGCTCGCCAAGCTCTTCATACAAAGTAACAAGTAAAGGATCATTTGGTGAAAGATCTTTCAATAAACGAGTAAAATATTGTTCAGCTAAATCAAATTTTCCCATTTTCCATAAGACTTTTCCTAATGTTCGAAGATTTGTTTCTCCACTACCAAGTTGTTGTTTCATGTACATGAGAACGTGTTTTAAATCATGTTCGTCCTCACTACACAATGTCATTTGGATGATCCACACTTGATTATCACTACTGCGTTTGACACTGTTCAAGCGAAAAATAGTACCAGGCATAAAAAGTATTTCTGATTTGCCAGAATATTTACTGTGTGCACTAATATCAGCAAATGGTTTTGTAGCGGCCAGCTTAGGATCGGCATAGATTTCAAATAGTACTGGTTCTAAATTGTCTGCATCGTTAGAAACATTCAGAAAAACACGAGCTTGTTCAGCATAGGTGCTAGTAGAAAAAAATGAATTTACGGAAATAAATTGATCACGACATTGTTGGAGAGCTTCCAGTTCGTTTTTTGATATTACTTGTCCGCGATAAACTCGCAGAGAATCTTTAGCTTGATACTTTTTTAATTGACGCTGAATATCAGAGATAAACGCACGAAATAAAAAAATCATATGTATGTTTTCGGTGCGTAGAACTGTATTAAGAGTCTTGAAAAAGAACGATTGCCGTGTATACCACCATAAGACTTTGTCAGGTGAATACTCGTTTTTAAATTCACGAAGATTGCTTAATTCACAATTATTATCTTCATATGCCTTTTCACAATGTTTAATGAGTTCATTTATGTCTTTGTCATTAGATTTTAATCGTAGAAGACAATCAATAAGTACTTGAAAAAAGACAAATTTACCATTTACATCAGCTGTTGATTTACCTGGATCAGAACCTATAGTAAAAACATTAATTGAAAATGGTTCTTCCACTATTTTCTGAATTTTATGATCAGCTTGAATTCGAGAAATTAGTTCATCAAGTGCAACAACAACAGCTTTTACCTATCAAGAAAAAATCGTACTTAAAAACAAAATAATGTAGTCTAATCTTACTTTTTTGAATTTGTTAGCCCATTGTTCGTTACGTTTCTTATCCATGCAATACACATAAATCGATATAACTTGTCGCAGTTTATGAATAGAAGGGACAATTTCGCTTCCCAATCGACCACTAACAACCATGACTACTCGTTCATTTTGTGAACGTTCTTCAATATATTGTTGACATTGTTTTACATCTTGAAACTTTTTGAGACGATTAATGATAGAACGTAATTTCTGTTCTGTTTCTCGATTATCTGTGACTTTTGTATTAGCATCGAGCCAGATAAGACAGAAAATTTCAAAATCCATATCGTCAGCGTCGGTGTGCAGATTATCCTTTGGAAGAATAGGAGTAGCCATGCTAATCAAGAAGACTGAATAGAATAGAATAGAATAAAATTTTTAAGTGTTGTCCTTTTAATTTACTGATCAAATGTTTCAGTGCTTTTTGCAGTCTATAATAAATTTAAAACTACCGCTTTCCCTGTACTGTTTATTAGTATTCATGGTACCTTGTAAAAGGATACAGAAAGCTTGTTAGCACAGCTTCTTTGAAGCTGAAATGTGGAACTCACGTATATCATTCAAACTTGTTACCCTGATGTATCATTTGTAAACTGACAACTAGTATTTTTCAAATAATTGTGAAAGCATTGAACTATTGTATAGAATCTGAAGCCTTTTGTGCACGGTTGCTGAGGTCTGTAATGGGGAGTATGTCTGTAATGTACTCTTCCGTTGCTGTGCCTGTAATGGAGTAGGAGAGGGAGGGGGTGAGGAGTCGGAAAACCTTGATCTAAAAAACTTACACTCACTATCTTCTTCGAAAATATTCGTGAGCTCCACAAAACTAAATGTTCGTATGTACCACAGGAAAATACCTCTTCGTAGCCCTCAGGGTTCGTAGGTAAGATCATCCTACCAAGATGAAAAATTTTAGCATGGATCGAAGTTATTCGTGTGTTTTTCGTTTTACCATCAAACAGAATTATAAATCACATGACATAATCTCTCTTACTAAGTTGGGCATTTTATTTCGTAATGTATAGATTTTTAATTTTAATCACTGTGAATCATAGATATAGTTTGCTTGTTCAGGACATTTTCACAGAGAATCTTATTTAGACTATCAAATCGAATGGTACATTCAAAAAAAAATGCTGCTTCCCATCTTATTGAAAAAGCACTAACATTTTACAGAATACTATAAGTTGAGGTTGAAAACAAAAAAAGGCTCAGAATGGTTATACAACGGATTGGTCTGAGAATACATCCTATTCCGCGATGTTGAACATTGCGAAATCAGTTCCGTCTCCGGAAGCACTTCCGTGCAATTCCGGGAACTCGAACATCATTCGACAAATTGGACCAATTCGGCAAGGATCGAGTTTCCTCAATTCTCGGAATTCCGGAAATTGAGTCCATTCTAAACAAGTCGTGATTCCTGGGAATTCCGTCCCATTCCGTAGCGATCTAACTTCTCGAATTCCGGAATTTCGCGAACTGATTCCGATCGGGAACCAGTACCTGGAATTCCGAAATTCCTAGGAATTCCCACGAATTCCGCCCAAATCCGCCTCGACCTAATTCCCGAAATTCCGTCACGGGATTACGTTCTCCCACACCCTCATGTTGGGCTGTATCATTATAGATTAATCACTGAAATAAATCAGCAATTCCGGGACGGAATTCCGG